ATGTTTGTCCTGGAAACTAAAAGCCATGGTCACTATGAACTAAGAAATACAGTTGTATGGCAATTTACAACTGAACAATCTGTGTTCTCCAAAAAAAAAAAAAAATATATATTCCTTGAAGGAGTGAAGGGACACGTTAATTCTTGATATGGCCAGTAGAGAGTGCTGCAGGTTATGTTTTGTGAAGGGGAAAAACTACACAAGTGTTTAACACGATAAACGAGGCCAAATGCACTATGCATGAGAGTTCTTTGCTCAACACAATGAGCACATAAAAAGAAAACAAGTGTCTAAATATTCTAGTGATTACCGGTGAAAACGATAGAAAGCACGAATTTAACGGCAATGTCTTTTCACAGTACTGAAACCACCAATCGGGTGTCCGCATCTCATAGGACATTCTAGAATCAAATCTGCTTGATTTATGAAAGCAACAATTGCCATAGCTTGGTTGTTCCTGGTTTATGAATGCAAAATGAAATCAAATGTGATTTTTCGAGTGTTCTGCTGGTCTTCCCAAAACATTATCTGCACGATTAAGACCGTGGATCCTGAAGACTCCCTCTGGATGATTGTCCTGAGAACCTGCTCTGGCCACGGTCGAGTGTGCAGGTGGCTGAGAGGTTCATCAGCAGCTAACACACAAGCTTTATTTCCTTTATTTCTTGCTGGTCCTGTTTGTGTTTGTTCTTTTGATTTCCTCTCTCCTTGATAGAGAGTTGCTCTCGCAGTGTGCTTTTCTCCAGCCCAGCAGCACAGCATTTCACCACAGCACACGACGTCTGAGTGTTTGTATTTAGGCGGAATCAGGCAAATGGAGGTCATAAGGCCACAGTGGTGCAGGGGTGTTTAAGTTTGCAAGGCAGAACTCCTCTGTTCAGCATGTAAAACTCCACCAACTGGATCAGGTCTGTGAATTTGGTGGCGGCGTCGTCGAGGCTCAAGAACATTTGACCGTCTTCTTCACACTGGAAAATGGAAAACATAAAACTTTTATGCATTCTAAAATGTGCCAGGCTGAAATTTAAATTCATGCAATTTAAATAGGATTCTAAACGGTCGGTTTCTACGGTGAGGTTTCTCTACTGGCAGAGCTACGGTTTGAAAAGATTCTTGCTGAGCATGTTAATTGAAGTCATGCTGACATGTTTATAGCCAGATACCTGATTAATAACACAGTTTAAAGGCTCAACCTTTTGAAGTTTAACTCTATCGCCCAACTGGAGTATTTTGAGGTTTGTTACAGGCACAGCAAAGCAAGAATGCTTGTTATGTACAGCGTGCTGTGCACTTGCAATGCGTTGGCCCAACATTTGCATCTGTGCCCTTGCGTAACGTAAGTTTCTTGTCTTTCACACTCATTCTCAGCAAGGTAGTATTCAAAAAATCTAATGCATACTTGGAATACTTGACTGTTTTAAGGATATGCCATATGTGCATCAGCACACAAAGTTAATATGCTACATGTTTTGAGTGCAGGAAACTATAAAATCTTACCGGTAAAATCTGGAAATGTTTGATTTTCTGGTGATGACACATTGTAAGTACAAATGCCTTAGGATTGCTCTGGCTATCCCTCAAGAGAAACATTCTGTTGCACAAAAGACAATTACGTGTAAGTATATCTTGCATAGTTAGAACAGAGAATCATCCAGAATGTTGTTGAGAATAACTAATGAGCTGTGATATGTACCCATCCACTCTGCCCTGCTGATGGATCATCTTGTGGGACTCCTCCCGTGAAATACGACTGTGAAACCACAGCTGAGTTCTGTGGATAACTGGATCAGAGGAGATACAAAATGTCTTTAGGACAAGGATGATGGTGAGCACTTTTCTATGGAGTACTGTGCATATTCAATAGGCATGTATTGGACATTCTTAAATTGCAAGGATTTTATCAATACATGACCTGACATTAACGAACTGTTCTTATTAAGACAATGATGTATAGTAATAGTAATAAATAACTTTTTGTTTTACACTTTTTCAAATCAAATTTTACTTTTATTTACATTACCAGCTAAATGTTTGGACTTTGGATTTGTACTAAACATACCACCATTTACATTAAAATAAATTTAATTAAATAAATCAGCAAGAATGCATTACACTGATCAAAAGTGACAGTAAATCAATTCACTTTGTTACAAAGAATTTACTTTAGTTTTTCAATTAAAATATAACATGTACCACGGTTTCCACAAAAATATTAAGCACAACTGTTTTTAAAATTGATCGTAATAAGTTAGTTTCTTATCACCAAACCAGTATATTACAATAATTTCTGAAGGATCACATGACATTGAAGACTGAAGTAATGGCTACTAAAAATGCAGATTTGCCATCCAATTATAATAATTATTCACTATTTTACTGTATTTTTTAACAAATAAATATAGCCTTGGTAAAAATGAAAGGCTTCTTTCAAATACATGATTAGGCATGATAATGTAAATATAAATGTAAAAAAAAAAAGTAAGTATTTGTCAAAATACTGATTTAAACACTCTAGAAAGTACCTCCGCTTAATGATGAGGGGTGTAATGGGCTGGGGCTTCCTAGTATATTCATACGCTGACTTCTCTTCTGAAAAAAGACAGGGAGACATAAACCACCACAGTCAATCAACTAAAAAAATTCTACATCATGCTAATTTGATTACAAAACAGTAAACAGTAACTTCTATTGACAAATTTTACATCTGTATTATCTGCGTTGCACTGGTAAACACTGCTTAGAAACATGATTCATATTATCTGTAATTCATCTAGATCACGATAGAACGTCTGGTAGATATTTTAAAAATCAAATAACTAAACAATCACAACAAAGAAGATCATTGGAACTGACTCTCCAGGCATGTCCCTCCTCCATGGCAGCACTCTGAGCCTCCACAGGATTGTCAATCACTCGGCCTATCCTCCCTGAGAAATCCATGGCTACCAGAGAGTTCTCTGAGACACTCCTCTGGAAAAGAAGATCGGAAGTTACAGCGACTTTGTTTGCCATATTACATATGTGTTGTCTTTTGATGGTCCCACTTTATATTAAGTGGCCCTAATACCTGTGTACTTACATAGTAACTAGATGTGTACGTAGTATGTAACCACAGTGTAAGTACACATTGGTACATAGTATCTACAGCTGTAATGTTTGTGTAACTACACATATGTAACAACAGAAATATTACAGCTCTAGATACTATGTACCAATGTGTACTTACACTGTGGTTACATACTACGTACACATCTAGTTACTATGCAAGTACACAGGTATTAGGGCCACTTAATATAAAGTGGGTCCAAACTTTTTAAGCATAACATGAACATGCATGGATTGACCTCTGTTCATTTTTTTCTAAAATTGTCAGCATTGCATAATATCCATAGGACAAGCTGTAATAATAACTTCACTGCCAACACTGGAACAATCATTCCATAATGTGACATCATGGCCCACATACTGACACATGTCTGATTAATGCTCCATCTGTGAGGTAGAGAGGAAGAGAGAGAGAATGCAGGAGTAGATTAAATGAGTGAGTGTCTTACCACAGGCGCTGAGAAGTGTGAAAGCAATGTTTTTCGCTGCTGGGGGATCTTGTAATTTTGATAGAGTAAAATTCCATACTATAAGGAAGGAAAAAAAAGTGTAAAACAGTTAAAAAAAGAATGATACCCTTTAACAAAATACCATAATAAAACATAACGCTGATGTACAGAATTGTTCACTGTGTTTTCCTCAAAGTGAAAAGACGCTGCCAGAATTAAAAAATGTGAATTTGCTCCTCAAATATACTCTCATGACAGCAGCATTAGCTGCAAGTGTAAGGTGCTCATTGTCATAACTGCATTTGAATAAATTTGTCATTTTTCCCCTTTCAGTACACAACATGTCATACATCATTTACGTCTGATGCATAGATCACTGCATTATGTTTGTCACAGATGCTCTAGATCAGTCAAAGAAAAGGGTGTAGGTTCTAGATCAGCCTTAAAATGTTTGAGGGTTTTAGATCACCCAGGGAAAGAATGCAGGTTCTAGAACAGCTAAGGAAAGAGTGCATGTTGTAGATCAGTCAGGGAAGGGATATAGGTTTTAGATAAACCTTGAAATGCATATGGGTTCTAGATCAGTCAGAAAGAAGGCTCAGATTCTGGAAAGGGTGCAGTTTCTAGATGAACATATGAAAGGGTGCAGTTTTTAGAATACCCATGGAAAGCAATGGGTTCTAGATTAGTCAGGGAAATTAGCAGCTTCTAGATTAGCCTAGGAAATAAGATTTTAGATCAGGCAAGGAAAGGAGGGGGTTCTAGATCAACCTGGAGAAGGTGAGCATTCTAGATCTGCCAGGAAAGGTTTACAGGTTCAACTGCAGATCAGTTAAGGAAAGGGTACAAATCCTAGATTGGCCAAGGAGAAAAGGTGTGGGTTCTAGATCAGCCATGGAAGGGTGGGGGTTCTAGCTCAGTTAGCTAAAGTTTAGGTTCCAGGTAAACCACAGAGAGGGTGCAGAGTGCGCCCTTTAAAACTGCCAGTAAAAAGAAGAGGTATCAGATCAGTCAGTGAAATTTTTCAGGTTCTAGATCATTTAAGGTAAAGGTTAAGGTTAAATAAACCAGGAAAAGATGTGGGTTTTAGGTCAGCCATGGAAAAACTATGGGTTCTAGCGCAGTCAGGAAAAAGGCTCAGGTTCCAGATGTAACATGGAAAGGGTGCAGGTTCTAAATCAGCCACGAAAAGGGCACAGGTCCATCGGCCAGTGAAATGTGGTTCCACTACCAACCTTGAAGAGTCTGAAGGCAGTCATCCAGCATGTTCTGCTCTGCTCGTCCTCTGCACACAACATCCTCAGTTCTTTCACTTCATTCCTTACTTTGTTAGGCTGCAAATAATCATAATACACAACATTAGTCACTCTGCTACTAAAACTGTGTTTTTCTGCATAAGACAGTGCAATGCTTAAAGCTTTTTAGACTGAATTTGTGTTGAATGTTTAACATTTAACTTTTCAGAGCTTATCTAATTTAAGAGTTCTCATAACAGATCACATAAACTTACTTTTATGCAGAATTCAAAGTCAGTCGGTGCATTGTGCAGCTTTCTCCCTGTTATTACTGTAAACACATT